GATGGCCCACTCGAAATCCCAGAAGAAAGCAGACTGATGAGAACATCCTGCTGTGCCTGCCTGAGTGCGGGCACTTGATTCTCCGCCAGAGATTGTGAAAGGCCTGCCGGCCTGGAACTCTCATTCGAAAGCAGATTGATGAATATCCTTCTGCGGCTGGCTGTTTGCCGGCACACTCTTTTTTTCCCGTGCGAGGTTGTTACCGGCGTTTTCTGCCAAAGTGCGATTGAGTCCGCGCAGAACGACCACCTGGCAGTCGTTCAGTCAATCCTGGAGAACAAGGACCAGAGTTCAGACAAGCTGGCGCAGGGGCAAGGGGTTTTGACAAAGGATTCCTTCTAAGGGAACAGGGGCCATTGATCGCTTAAAAGGAATTTGACCATGGCATGTACGTTTGTAGCCTTGCAGGAAGCACACCTGACGAAGATCAAGGCTCTCTTCAGCAAGTTTGGCGTTGATGATGAAGGCGATGAAGAGACGGCCCACATTACTTTTCCCATGTTCCTTGGTGGCTCCCACTTCTTTTTAGCCTTTTAGTGTTTAGTGGTAGTTTTCATTGAACCCACTAAAAGTTAGTCACTGATAGCGGGGGATCTGAGGGCAGCCCAGGTTTGAGGAGAAAATCGGCACGCCTGAAGTTCGCGATTATTTTGAATCTTTACGCCTGGCGCCTTGACAGGAGTCAAGCAGGGATGCCTTGGGTCACCGGAGTATTGCTTTGTGGCCTTGCTTTGGTGGTTCTCGCCCTCTAACTTTCACTCACCCCAGGTGGATGTTCGAACGAGTGACAATCACAATCCAGGTAGATGAAGGCAAGTAGGGGAACAGTCCCAGGCGTAAGAAGGTACGACGAGAAGCCCGTTTGGTTAGTTATATGTTTGTTGGTTCACCTCCTGAATTTGTTGGTTCAGCATCATCATCATCATCATCATCATCATCATCATCATCATCATCATCGTATCATCATCACGATCATAGCCCTCATGATCATGATCATCTGCGACTTTTTGTTGCACATCCAGCTGCCAACGCTGAATTTCCCCAGAAGCCAGACAAAAAAGGATGGGTCATTGTTCGAAGTTTTCAACACCCAGATATGGGGTGCGTCTTATATTTAGGGTACCGGTTGTGTACCCATGTTGGGGTCGTTTCAAAGGCAAGAAGAGCGAAACACACCTTGTTGGGTTTCCCCTATTGAGAGAGTCTAATAGCAACAACTGCAACAACAACTACAACAACAACTACAACATCTGCAACAACAACTGCAACAACAACAGCAACAGCAGCAGCATAAACAACAGCAATTATCACGATAAGAACATCCTCGTCATCGTTGTCATCATCATCATCATCACCATCATCATCATCATCATAATGACCAGCATCATCATCTTGATTATCATCACGGTAACAACATTATCAACATCAACAATACGAACAACAATAATAAGCACAAGACCAAGCGCGGCGCCGGCAACAACAACAAGCACAACGGCGCGAAGCCAGCAGCAACAACAAGAAGAACGACAGTACCATAACAAGAACAACAAGAGTAAACATAGCAACACCAACACCACTAACAGCAACAACGACAACAGCAACAACAACTGCAACATTAGCAGCAACAACAACAGCAGCAGCAACAACAGCAACAAGAACAACGACGAGGACGACGACAACAAAAGCATGAGCAACATCAACAGCAACAACAACAACATCAGCCGCAGCAGCAAGAACAGCAACAAGAACAACGACGACAACGACAGCAACAATGGCAACAGCAACAGCAACAGAAACTGCAACAGCAACAACAACCAAGACACAACGGACATCAAACAGCAAACAACAAACAACACACAACAAACAACAAGCATCACACAGCACACACACACGCAACATTGTGCAACAAACAGCATGCAGCAAACAACACACATCTACGACCGTTACCATCGCCAGCAACCACCACAACCGCAAAAACAACAACAGCAGCGGCAGCAACAGCAACGCCCGGAACCACAACAACCACAACAACAAGAAGGTTAATAATTGAAAAAAAGCGAACAAGGACAGGAATACGCATAGCAACTGGAAGAAGAAAAGAAGAAGGATATAACAAGGACCACAAGAACAATAACCAGCAACAGTAATAACTACAACAACGCCAAGAATAATAATGGTAAGGCAAACAAGAACAAGAAGTCTCATAGCAACTATAGGAGAAGGTGGAAGGACAAGAACAAGGAACACAATAACAAAAAGATGAGTAAAAACAAAAGCAACAGCAGCAGCAACAACAGCAACCACAACAACAGCAGCAACACCGGCAACAACCGCAGCCACAACAACCACAAGAAAAGGAAAAACAAGAGTAATAATTCGACCAAGAACAAGAATACTCATAGCGACTCTAAAAAGAGAAGAAGAAGGACAAGAACAAAGAACACAAGAACACAAGAACAACCACATGAATGCAAACAAGAACAAGAGCAGCAGCAGCAACGTCACCCAACAACAACACCCAGAACAACAACAGCAGCAGCAAGGGTAGCAACTACAACCGCAACAACAAGACAAAGAAGAACATATTAACAATGCGAACAATAACACAAATACTTCTATCGACGATGAAAAGACAAGAGAAATGTCAAGACCAAGGAACGCAGTAACAGTTACATTCCTTTACAACCACAACAACAGCAGCAGCAATAACAACAGCCACAACAACAACAACAGTAGCAGCAGCAACAGTCACAACCACAGCCACAACAACTACAACAACAAGAATCATATTAAAGTAACAAATAATGATGCCAACAAGAACAACAATTCTTGTAAAAAACTAGAAGAAAAAACAACAAGGACAAGAACAAGGAACACAAGAACTAGAACATTAACAACAGAACAAAAAACAACAACAGCAGCAGTAGCAGCATCAGCAGCAACACAAACAACCACAACCACAATAACCACAACAATAAGACAAGGAAGAGAAAGAGTAGTAACGGGAACAAGAACACGCATACTCATAGCAACAATAAGAAGGAAGATTAAGGACAGGAACAAGGGGCACAAGAACAACAACATGAAAAGCAGGAACAAGAACAACAGCAGCACATCAACAACCACAGCAGCAGAAGCGGCAGCAACAGCCGCAACCGCAACAACCACACCAATAAGAAGAAGATAAGGGTAAATTTGCGAGCAAGAGCAATAATACTCACAGCAACCATGAGAAGAAACAAGAAGGACAGCAACAATGGACACAAGAACAACAACATGAACAGCAAAAACAACCATAACAGCAGCAGCAGCAACAACAACAACCATAACAGCAGCAGCAGCAAAACAACAACCACAACCACAACAATTTCAAAAATAAGAATAGCAGTTCTGCGAACAAGAGCAAGAATCCCCATAGCAACTATAGGAACAGAAGAAGGACAGCAACCAACAAGGAACACAGAACAAGAACATCAGTAGCAAGAACAAGAACAGCAGCAGCAGCAGCAACAACAACAGCAGCAGCAGCAGCAGCAGCAGTAGCAACCACAACCACGACTACCCCCAACAAGAAGAAAAACAAGAATAGTGAATATGCGAACAAGAACAATAATAAGCATAGCAACTATTAAAAAACAGAAAGAAAAAGAATGACAATAACAAGGAACACAAGAACAACAACATGAACAGGAAGAACAAACAACAAAATCATCAGCAGCAGCAACGACAACGACCACCACCACCGCAACAACAGCGACAACAACGATAGCAACAGCAGCAGCAACAGCAGCAGCAGCAGCAGCAGCCACAAGCACAACCACAACAACCACAACAAGAAGAACACAATGGTAATAATGATAGTAAGAATGCGAGCAAGAGCAGGAATTCCAAGAAGTTTGCACTGCTGCGGGGCATAATGTGGCGGATGTGCTTATCAACATGTCTGCGCCGCTGCGGGGGGATCACTGAACGAAGAACGTCGTTGTCACAGGCCCGCAAAGTGTGCCGCCCACCGCCAACAACAACCACAGCAACAACCGTCGCAACAGCAGCAGCAACAGTAATAGCCACAACGACAACAACAAGACACAGAGGACGCACAGTAATAATGCGAACGAGAACAAGAATACCCACAGCTGTAAGAAGAAGAGAAGAAGGACAAGGACGAGACTAGAAGAACAGTAACATTCACAGCAAGACCTAAAACAACAGCAGTATCAGCAGCAACCACAACAACAACCGCAGCAGCAGCAGCAACAGCAACGACCACAACAGTAAGAAATTAGAAGAATAATAGCAATAATGCAAACAAGAAAAAGAACACTCATAGCAACTACACGAAGTTCAAGAACAAGGAACACAAGTGCAAGATCATCAATAGCAAGCACAAGAACAGCAGCAGCAACAGCAACAACCAAAACCACAACAACCACGACAAGAAGAAAGAGAATAATAATAGTAATAACGCGAACAAGAACAAGAGTACTCATAGCGCCTATCGGAAGAGGAAAGAAGGACACGAAAAAGAGCCACCAGAACAAGAACCACTCATAGCAAGAAAAACACCAACAGCTACCAGAAGAGGCGAACAAGAACAAGGGCCACAATAAGAATAATATTCATAGCAGGGACAAAAACAACAGCAGCAGCATCAACATTAACAACAACAACACTAACAATATCAACCGCAGCAGCAACAGTCACCACTACAACCACAGCAACCACAACAATAAGAACCAGGAAAGGAATAGTGTTCATGCGAGCAAGGACAGGAGTACTCATAGCACCAAACAGAAGAGAACAAAAACAAGAACAAGGACCACAAGAACAATAGCATTCTCAGCAAGAACCTGAGCAACACCAGCAGCAGCAACAACAACAACCAAGAACCAACATATTTCGCACCAAGGGCAAACAGCAGCGAACACACCAGCAACTTTCTAAGGATGTTTCGGACGCCTGGACCTTCTTCAAAATGCTGGACCTGGACGGTGGAGGTGCAATTGCCTTGGACGAGTTCCTCATGGGCTGTTTGAGGCTGCGCGGCCAAGCGCGCGCCATTGATGCCACTGGGCGAGAAGCGAGAAGTTCGGGCGAGGAAATGCACGAGTTCGTTTTTTGTCTACATGTCTTGCGAGTTCCCACATTTTCCTCCCAAGCCATAGGCTACTGCAACATGGCCCTGCTTGTTTTGAGGGTGCCCTTCAAGGTCGGTTTTGAAGGGTGGCCAAAAGGACAACCACCACTTTTGGGGGTCCCTATGTTGACACATACGCAAAAAGGAATGATAACACTGTAGTTGCTTTGTGACGTGAGTTTGACATGTACTGAAAACTTAGGAAGAACCAAACAACCCAACAAAGATCTAGGATACGTTGAGGTTTGGACAGTTTAGCTATGTAGTTTATCCATCGCCAATATGTTTGATTGTTTTCTTGCTCTGCTTCTCGATTGTTTGTTTTTTTGGGAGAAAACAACACACTCAACACAACTCTGCAGCCCTCACTGCCTACAGTCCCTTGACCATTCCATGCGACTTGCGAAGGGAGAGGGCTCAGAAGGGAAAGGGAACCATCATTTTCGTCCATCCTAAGTATTTTGAAATTATTATGCCTAGAATTGTTGGCCACTGACTGCCAAGGAAGAAATCATCCGAGAAGAATTCCACCTCTCATGGACCTGTCCGTTTCTTTCTCTTACTCACTGTATATCTCTCTTCATAGTCTTCTCCAGAACAATGTTTGTTCTATGTTTCTTCCCTTTTTTGATGATTGTTCTATTTATTTCTATCACTTTATCATGGTAACTCTTCCTTCCAGGCCAATCGAATGCAACGCTTTGACTGGTGTCTAAGCCGGAAGGTAGCTCAAGACATCTTGACTAGCCCCAGATGCAACCATCATATTGGTGAGGGCCCAGGTAGGATGAGGATGGGAGAAGCGACCCTTGAATTCTAGTCCATTCTCTTGCTACCTTCTCTTACCTTTCTCTCCATCCATAACTTCTTCATTTTGGAAATATCAAGCTTGGGAAGTGATGGAGAGGGATGGAGCGGGCCTCATTCGTAACCCGCTCTCAACTCGAAAAAGATACTGTAATCATCATGTTGGCTCCGCCCCTTTGAGTAAGCTTATGAAAGGGACGGAGAGGGCCATCCCTTTCCTACCCCTCTTTACACGTCATATCCTAGAGTTTGGAGTGACGTGCAGAGATGGAAGGAATGATATGTGACGGCAACTCCCTGTCCTATGTCTCGCTTCTTTGTTCGCGAGCATGTGGAACGGGCAGTCGGGCTTGAATCTGGCACGGTCTGCCACAACGCAAGTTGAGGAAGCACTAATTCAAAAAGAAGGCCTCCACGCGCGAAAGCCAATCAGTCCATGAGCGCAAAGGAACACAAGCGACCACAGCCAGGAAAAGAGAGCAGACAATAAGACAAGGCATATTTGTCAAAACGGCTCCAGGATTCAAGCCTGCATCTTCCATGATCGCAACGCGGCTCGCGGCCGATCACGCAGAGTGAAGTGCCAGCAGCCTGAGGAATATGGCTGTGGGTCAAAAATAGGTGCCCAAAATGGCACCCTGGTAAATGGAAAGAATGACTAAAACCTGTGGTCCCCTGGTGGTTTAATTTTGACCCATACCCATATGTTCTCAGGGGTAAAATGGATGGCGTCTCTTCCTCTCCTTCCGCTCCCCTTTCTCCGGCCCAATCCAAGAGTTCACGCTTGGATTTGGAGAGAAAACAATGGAATGAGTCATGTCCTCTTCCTTCCCCGGTTTTTATTCAATAGATTGGGGATGAAGGACATCCCTTGACGCCCCATAGAGACAGATGAGGGCGTGGGGATGAAGAGAGAACACACACTCTCACTTCGCTCCCGTCCAGTGATTGGTTTGGATTCGGTGCTGAGAAAAGCAAAATCCAAAGAATGGTCGTGTTTGTTTGTCAGTTGTTCACCTGGAAACTGGAGGAAGTTCCCCAACACCAAAAGCGCCCTGCTTTTTGTCGTGCCTTTCATCGAGATTTGGCGTTCTTTTTTTTTTGTCAATTGCAAAAGCTGAAGGTATTTCTTGGGATTAGTTCTGCATAATCATCATTGCTTCCGCGGTCGGAAAGCCGCAGAAACCAACACAACTCGAGACACAAATGCACTAAAAGCGCACAGGGAAAATGCCAACAAGTCAAGCCAACGATTGCTGATTATGCGCCTGTGTTTGTGGGGCGTTCCTCGTTGTTTGTTGGGTTCCTGGAGTCTTCTGACAAACAGATTCGATGTGCTTCCAAATTGTGGCTATTGTAAATATGTCGATGCTTTGCAGGATCTCTTTTTCCCAAGCGTTTCCCATTTTGGGATGCTATCAAAGCACTCCACTCCTGACTCGGTGAAGCATTATCTATCAGCCTTTAGCTGCTTGCCTCCAGATCTGCAGACACTGCAGAAGGTAGAAGGAGTCTCAGTGCAGAATTGCTTCGGATTTGGTCTGGCACAAGACTTGTGAATCCAGCACGCTGTCATTGTCATCTTCACTGTGAACCTCGCAGGCGTGTAGCATGCCTACTTTGGTGGAAGCGTAGTTCTATGCTTTAGGCATATGGAATCAGTTGGACATGTGTTAAACCTTTGGAATTGCGCTTGAAGCCTGTGCTTGAAGAATCACACAACACACCACGTGCCAGATATGTGCTAGGGATGCTTGGCATATGATAAATATAGTAGACCGATGCTATATGCATTCTAGGTCACGTACACGTGCAGCTATATAGCGGGATCCTGATAGACACCGTGCTAGACAAGATGGTTGCAATATTGATTCGGCGCCACAGCAAGAGGAACCATGGACAGGTTATGGCCCTTAGTGGTCCTTCATGGTACACATCTAGTTCGAGGGGTAGACTCTACCGATGGCTACAATCTTCATGTATTTGGGACCCCCAAACCCCCTGTTTTTGTGGGTTCCATGGGATTGACGGTCCAAAACGCCCCTTCTTTTTCCTGAGGAGAGAAGGGGTTGGGTTCCTTTCGCTGTAATCTCAGTCATGTCCACTCGAAAGCCACAGGTGGGCAAGATCCTGCACGAGCAATCCTGGCTCATTAGGCTGGCCGGGCTTGCCGGGCGGCGAGTGCTCGGCCCCCCATCAAAACCTCCAAGACGGGGGGGTCCATGTCAGGCTTGTGGGATCACTCGGGGGTTTTCCAACCACTTCTGAGATACTTTTGGGAATCTCCCCCTTTGATACTTGGGGTTTTAGTCTTTGGGAAGCCCTTGTTGTATCAGAAAAGTGGGCATTTCCCACGGCCCTGGTCCATGTGGTCGCTTGAGGGAACTTCCCGTCGAACGGACTCGAAGGTTCCCAGCCGGAAATGATGGTGCATGGATTTCGGTAGCCTTGGGCTGTAGCCCATTCACCACAGATTTCGGTGAGCTCCTTTGAAGCTATGAGGGACCTTAGATCACACCAGGTCTTTGCTTGAGGGCTTTTTCGTGTTTTGTGTGTTGGGGGGGGGGGGGGAGAGGGGGGTGAACTCCCCATTTTGGAAGTGCCCCCATACTGAGACTTCCATATCCTCTTGTTGGGAAGGACAGTCACTTCTGCAGTGACACAGCAACTAGCAACCTATTTGCGCCCTTTTTCCACAGTTCTCCCACTCAGCCTTTTAGATTGGACTCGGGTTTCGGGTTGGGATTTGTCGCTTTCAAAACCACCCTTGGTCCCCCGCAAACGGGGTGTACCAGTCAGTCCTGGTGAAAAACCGACTCGCAGGAATCAGGGCAAGTTCCAGACCCACGTGGAGGTGGAGCTGAAAACGATGAAGGCTCAGCTGGAGAAGCTGCTTTTCGGCTTCGCGCCTTCGACACAGTTTGGGATAACCGCTGTGGTTTGGATTTTTAAAGTACCCTTAAGCTTTTCGACGTGTAGACTGTTTCCGAATTATGGGATCTATGACACATCCCGAAAGCAGTTGGGGGGGTCTGGGGATTCATAGCTAATTTTTGGGAAGTTTGTGAATTGGCAAGTGGTTGGTGGACATAGCTCATTGCCTTTGTTTGATGTTGAATCTCGGGCATTCCCACTTGACCTGAACATGTTTCCTGCAACTGCTCCCTGACAACGGCTGAGGGCCCTGGGTTTTGGACAATGAAGGTGCCAAATCCAAAAGGGTGGCCTTTTTGTACTGATTGTACTGGTGGGGTTTCTCCAAACTGCGGGGTAGACTAAATATGACGCAGAGTCTGAAAGTTGTGGTGTTTTCTTCAGTGTACCGGAGATGTTTTGTTTCCGCAATGGGCGCTGGGAATGAAGGTTGCGGACCAGCACTTTGTTTGGCAGCTTCGGGGGAGTTTCCGGCCAAACGGCTTCGGAAGTACCTTTTTCCTTCCGAGTCACAAAGGGGGGATTTCTCGAAGTGGATTCGGATGGTGGGGTAAAGGGAAACTCAGTTGTTCAAAGCCGACCTTTTGGTCCATGTTTACAAAATTAAAAGGTGAACCTTGTATTTCAATCTTCCTGGGTCCTTTGGGCAAGCAAGGAAAGGACCGATTGTTCTAGGGGTTGATTCCTTGTCCATTCTTTTCAAATATTGTTTTTTTCAATCACAGGCCGTTTTCCGCGGGTTTCCATGAAGTTTTCTGGAAAGAAGGATCCCTCGAAAGAATGGGCAAGGTATCCCTCGAAATTCAGACCCTTGCCATTTTGGACCCGAATGACTGGAGAGCCCGAATGACTGGCTCTAAATCTCCACTGCTATTGGCTTGGATCTTTAGACTTTAACTTTTTGGGAAATCAAGGGGTTTTCCACTAAACCAGCAAAAAGTTAAACTTTTTGCAGAGGGGTCAACAGCAACCAAGTAAATGAATTGAAATTTTCAGAATTGCAGGGGCCCCCAAATTCTTCTTAGAAACCGCCTTGACAAGTTGACTCAGGATCCGACGCCGAGCTCCGCCCCGAGCTCCGCGCGGACTGTGAGCTCCAAGGGCGGGCGCGAAGCGAATTGAGCTGAAGTGAGGTCAAGTCACCAGAAAGACGCCAGTTGGACCAGAATCCGTGGGAGAGATATATAAGCCCCCCATGGCACCACAAATCCATTGCCTTGTCTACTTGTGGAAGCTGTTCCTTTGGAAAAGGCACGCCCTGAGCAAATCTGCAGTTGGAACCGAAAGGGAAACCAAAGCGAATTCAAAGAGGAGCCGAGATACTACGAAGATGTGCAGGTCATTCTTTCCAAAGATCCTCTCCAAAAGAAGCGAACTCAAACAGCCGCTTGAAGAGCATGATGATAGACATGACAGGGGAATCACCCCTAGGGTAGTCTCCTTATTCTCGGGAAAATGGGGCAAGATGGCTTCGAGAAAGCCATCTGATTCGGGCAGGTGGTTTTGACACTCGGCCCCCATTCATGGTCATACCGTGGATGGACGAAATCCTGCACCACCTAAGAAACCCTGGTTGCTGTTGATCCCCCTGTAAATACCAACCAACCATGGTTTCCCATGGTTTCCAAGTGGTGCAGGATTTTGTCCATCCACAGTAGGGTTCAACTGGAAATGCTGGCTCCTTCAGAACCATCCAAACCAGCACCCTCCAGCAACTGCTTTTCCACTTCTCGTGTCCAAATTCTGAAGTGGGGTATACAAGAGGGTCCTTTTGGGACTATCCCCTGCAAAACGATAGGAGCAACAAATGCCCATGGGCCCAAGAAGCATGAAGTCATGGCCGTATTGGCATCAAAACCCCTGCAGATTAAGAAAGCTCCCCGTATTTCCCCATGCAATCGGACATCTTCTCTTTTGATTCTCCCCTGGGTAGGCCAATCACCAGGTTTTGAGTGTGACTTATGTAACGCACCATTTCCGTAGGAGCTCCGCCGATAGCAAAACCAGAGATATTTGAGACAAGCGGCTGGACTATGGCCATTTGGCGTCAACACGTTGGCATGGTTGCTGCGTTTACTTGTGTAGTGTGGGCCTGAGCCTACTTGAATCAGAAAGCATAATTTGCGGTGGGAAGCGACAAGGAGAAAACACGGCGATCCCGAAAAGAGGTTTTAGCAGTTCAACACCGTTTTTCACACAAATGTTTGCGCAGTTGTTGGCCCGGCAACGGTCTTATGCTAGCAACCATGCCGCCTTAAGCTGTTGGATGTTCAACCAACTTTGGTCGCCATGGATAGACCTGGCGTAACTGGTGTTCGCTTGAAAAATCCTGGACATGACCTTACTCAGCGGCGTGAACACACAAGTTTGAGTTCACACCCGCTCGCCAATTGGCGCTGCCGAAGAACCTTTGCACGGCCGTTTTGGCTGAAGTCGGGATGCGGAAGCATTTGAGAGCCCTTCCTCCAACCCACTTTTGTCGTGTCGGGTTTTGGGGCTCTCTGCTGACCCCTTTCCAGGCGCGGACTCCCAAATCCCTCCAGAAATAGAGCCCATTGGAGGGCTGAGGCATGATTGCAACAACAACGTGTCGAGTGAATTCCTGAAGACAGGGGGAGCCTACCATAGTTGTTTTCAGCGTCGGAGTTGATAGCCAAATCTTGGCTAGCCCTTCGCCGCTGCGAAGCAGAAGACACGGCTAGAGGCTCGCGCCGCTTGGCGAAAATGCAACGCCGCAGCTAAATTCCGCACGGACTCACACTTGGAATACCCGGAGGGTCCAAGTACCTTCTAAGGACGTACTGAACGACCCCTTTTGACCCCTCAAAAGCCATCCTCAGAAGGTACTTGGACCCTTGGGATACTTAGAATTCTTAGAACTGGGGTCATTATTTTGACCGTTTCTGGGAGTTATCCAAGTCAGAAAATGGGGTTGTTTCCCTCTAGCCCACCACTTAGGGGGTGACTTTGATCATGGTAAAATAATGAGGTCAGGAGAATCGCTGTTGGAAGCGAGCATCGTTTCTATGTGTGAGTCCGTCACACGATTCCGGGCAGCGGAGTCCGTCACGCCCTTCCAAGCAACTGCTTTCAGGCTGAGAGGCGAGGGAATTCTTCACTGGGAGAAGCACACCCTTGTTCTGCAAATTTTTGAGCCCCAGCCATATTTGAATCACGTGAGGGAAGCCAAAGTGGTGTGTTGAACATCTGTTGAACAATTAGCTCTCAGACATTCCACATACCACGGTGGTCCAGCCGCCCGAAGGGTTCAATGATCATACCCGGGTTTGAGCAGACCTCCATTGATATTTGCGGGTTTGCCTTTTGAGGTACCCCCAAAATAAGTGGCTTCCCCGTGGTTGCCTAAGCCAACTCCAGAAGGGTACCAGTGGCGAGCGCAAGGAACCCGCTCGCTAAATGATGGCAGGGATGGATGAAACCCCAGCCACCAACCTTTGCATCCACTGCACTGGGCTGTCGTTGCGTTCCTGTGAACAGCGTATGAGCAGATCCAAAGCAAAGCGCGGATGAGGTACCAAAACGGAACCCTGGTAAGTGGAAACATTGACCAAAACCTGCGTAACCCCTCCTGTTTAATTTTGAGCCACACCCATATGTTGTTTAGACACAAAGTTGAGCCACCAAAGCCTGGCTACATGAAGCGCAGCATAGCTGCGAATCCTCACACACCGCAAATGGGCGCGTCGCCATTTCGTGTTGGTTTAAAAGGGAAACACACAAGTTTGGGGGGGAACCCCAAATTGATTTTCCATCCCGGATGTGTGACAAACATCACCAGGTAGCATGTTGGAGCTACAATTCTACGGGTTGATTCCTTGTCCATTCTTTTCAACCATCGTTCTTTTTAAAAACCAGCTGTTTCCCCTGGGGTTCTGATGTTTGGAAAGATTCGGATCCCTGGAAAGAATGGAATTGGAAGTGTCCCCTAGAACAATCACAGTTGGGCTGGGTGAAGCTCAGGAAACAGTGGAAAGCCTTAAATCGCCTTTTTCCAGTAGCCTTTTGGGGCGCTTTTGAAAGGGAGAAGGTGCAAGCCATGTTTGGGACTACTTTCAGACGCACAGATTTCCAACCCCTGGACACGGGTTTGCAGTCACATACGGGGGTTTGACAAAAGGGCTGGGGAGTTGGTCCAATTCGCGTGTCACAAAGACCAGACAGCTTAGCGAAAAGTGCCTCTGGGTGTCGAACATCGGAGGCGCGCGATGGAGTTCTTCGCTGTCACTCGGAAGGGCGTGCAGCTGTGCGCCATTTTTGCTTCTTGTTTCTTCTTTTTGTTCTTTTTCGCACGAGAGCTGCAGGTCGCTGCCCACCTTCTTAAAGAAACGATTCGGCTTTTCACTGCTCGAGATCATGTTGTGTACCTTCTTTAAAGCTGCATGGCGTTATTTTGAGGGTGTTTCCTGAAGCCTGAAGCAAAAGACGAGGTAGCTACTGCAGAAAGGGTTGGGACCTACCAAACAAACGGGTACTTGGAGTTGGGCTTGGTTGACTTTTTGACTCCGCTACAACATTGAAGGGGTCTGAAACGAGGGGCCCTGGCGCCCTTGACGACATAAGAGGGGTTTGCAATGTCGTGAGATTTTGGCGTCTTTGGCGCACTAGTTTCGGTTGGTATTCACAGAAATCCATAACCAAGTCATCGATCAGATGCTTGACGGAAAACAAAGCCACCTTCATGAGTGAGATTGTTTTGCGTGAGCTGGTTACAACCTGTGCGAAATGAATTCGGCAAGGTATACTGAAATCTAGCGACCTAAATGCTGCATGCTGACGCTTGAGGCGATTGATTTTGGACAAGCCAAAAAAGGTTGCTGGGATGTGTTTCATGTCCATGCGATTTTAGCAACCGAGAAAACCCAACTTTTGAATGCTCTGGAGAGGTAGGGTCCCCATATTTCCCTTTTCAGCTGGTTTTAACATCACGTGTTGGTTGCCACTTTAGATGAGCTAGAGAGCCGTGAGGGGGGCAGAAGCGTCAGGGGTGACTCATCTTTGGAGTTGGGTTGGCTTTTCCCAGAAATCGGGACATCACCCGGCTTGGAGGCTGCCCCACTTTGGCGCTGTGGGACGAAATCCATTTGTCTGAACCCCTATGATTGGGAGAAATCATTTACCAACTGGTGCGAAGCGGATTTCGTCCATCCAAAGTGTTTGCAGACCAACCCATGCCATGTTTTGGGCTGCTTGCTATGGGCTTGAAGCATAGGAAGAACATTTGACTGCGATATGCGGCCGGATGATGGTGGGGTGGGTGTCTGTGGTGAATTTTGGAGGGGCATGGGAGGACTCACAAAATTCGCAGCAAAAATCCAGGCCGAGCCCATCATCTTCCGAAGTCCCATCTCCTAACACACCGGAACCCATCCCTCTCTCGGTTGTTCAGTGGCACCGATTATTTTTCCTCTTTTTTTGTGCCCCCACTAAAAATGGACAATTCCCCAACTAACCTCCAGCTAACCTCTCTGCTGGAGGACCTAGCCAGGGTCACTGAACAACTGAGCTCTTGTAGGTTCCATGGCCTTAGTCCTTGAGAGGTACACCTACACACCAGGCGAAGCTCTTCCCGCCGAGCCGGATCGATGCTTTCCACCTGCAGCTTGGATCCAAAGAGAAAAACGCCATGCAAGCGCAAAAGGGCCTAGTCCATTCCCCGCGCCCCACTTTGCCACTAAAGCAGCCAACGACGGCTTAATAAAACGCGGAACATCACTGGAAAGCGGGTGCTGAAGTGACCGCTTTTGGCTCGGGTTGGCAATACTCATTGTTGCAAATGAGTTTCCAGCAGCTCAAGCATGAGATTTGGGGTTTCCCTTTGCCTGAAGAACAGCTGGCCAGAGATTTCGGGGAGCTAAGGAGTCAGTAAAACAAGAATACATATAAAGACAAAAATCGAGTAGCATTGGTAAGAACAGCCCCAACATCATTCTGGTAAGCCCTGGACCGTTTCCAGATCCCCAGCCTCTCCCAGCCGCGTCCAGAGCCTGGGTCTATGAAGCCCGAAGCTTTCAGCCAAGGCTCAGAAGCTTCCATTTGCTGAACGGATTTTTGTCGTCCCCCGCTGGTTTTGAAGGGAATCGATATCTCACTGCAGTTGTTTT